CCTAATAGTTTGCATATTCATCAGTCCTTTCACAGCAGAACAGATCTCGGCCTTTTCTCCCACTGCTGCTGCACGGAGGCGACCGGAGAGCSGCACGGAGGAGGCAATGCTGCTGTACTTCCAGCAGCACCACAGGCTGAGGGCAGGATAAAGCTGCGTTGCAGAGAGAAACTAATTATTCCTCTTGTGTGACAGCCCTGGCAAGCACAGAGCATGGCCAGCCTTCCTTGGCTGAAGAAAACAGCAAAGTGGGAGCCCATCCTGGGCACTGGAATAGAGAGCAGAGGTCAGAGAGGAGGCACAGTGGAGCTCTGGGGACAAGGCAAGGCTGGAATGGTCAAGGGAGCCCTTTGCCATCTGTCACCCCACAGATGGGCACTCATGGACATGGCTGAGGTGACCAAGGGTCCATCCCACAGCAAAAACACCCACCTGCCTCAGCCAGGCTGGCCCATGGGGTGGTGGAAAGGGCTGGAAGCCAGGAACAGCCAGCCCAGGAGAGACCCCAAGCAACTCCCCATATCCCAAGGACCACAACAGGCWCAAGAGGAGCTGRAGGATCTGCCTTTTATTTCCAGGCATTCCTGTTTCCCTCARCTGTGTGGTGCTGCCCAGCCTGCTSGGTTTGCAGTTTTTAACGAGGTACATGTGGTGAAAAACCCTTCCCAGGCAGAGCTTTCCTGTTTGGCCATTTCCAAAGGCTCTGGGTGTGATGGCAGTAGCTGACTCCATGSAGTGATGTGCCTGGGGCAGAAACACTCCTGGAGCAGAGCAAGACAAATGTCTAAGAAATAAATCATTCCAAAATGGGCTGAAATAGCCTCAATTTCTTTCACCCCAGCACGGTGGTGCCCAGGGAGAGTGGGCACAAGGGCACAGGCATCCTCTCAGCCATKCCCAGTGCTCCCAGTGCAGAGGTGCTTTGCCCAGAGCCACTAATGGACCACTCAGTGCAATTAGCAGCTCTCATCTGGCACTGAGAGGCAGCGGCAGAGCTCTGAACCGCCCGGAGAAGGGCAGTGGGAAAGGTCTGGAACACGAGGGAGCAGCGAGAGCACATCTCCTGGCTCGGGCAGCACGCCAGGAGCCAGGGTTACAAAACACGGCCACCCCGTGTCGCATAGCGAGGGTCGGTGTCACCAACCCCGCGGGCTACGGTTACAGGCTGAGCCCGGCAGAGTCATCCTAAAACCCTGCGGGATCATCCCKCCCCTGCCCCCGCTGCCCGGGCATTCCCAACCCTCCCCTTCCATCCCGAGCATCACCCCCAATGTCTAAAGCGAGAAAAACCCTTGCTCAAGACCTGCTGCTTTTTTTTTTCCACGCTGAAGCAGAAACAGCAATTATCTGGTTCAGTCTGGTGCTGCTGGCCTGGAACATGCCATGACAACGTGTTTCTCGTTTCAAAGCCTCTTTTGTACTAGGACACAGTTCAAGGGATCTTGCAATGCCTGCATTTGTAAACACGCCGCACTTGCAGCTACACGCTCTGCAGATGAAAGCCGAGGCGGAGCACAAGGGCACTTCTGGCTCCTGTGTCACGGCCGGGGGATTTGGGGAGCTCCCCAAAATGTGTGTGAATCAGGGCCCGCGGCTGGCTAGCCATGCGTGGTCCTCAAAAGTCACGGCACGTTCAGAAAAATGGAGTCCTGGAAAAAAAAAGGGGGGAAGAAAAAAAAAAAAAAAAAATCACGGCAAAAAAAAATGTGCGTCACTGCAGATTATTTTAGGCCCTGGTCCATGCATAATGCAAATAAGCAGCTCCCGGGGTACATGCCTGTAAAAACCATCCAGTCCCACAGCGCTCGGCTCGAGGAGCTTTCCAAACAGGTGGTGAAAAGCTAAAATTATGTGTCTGTGTGTCCTCACCGGGGTTAGGAAAGGCCCTGGCTCTCAGGAAGGCTCTCCCCGTGCCTCCACAGGGCTGGTATGAAACAGGACCGAGACATTAAAAAATTCAGGAGCATTTCTTTCCTTTTGAGGCAATCCTGCGCTCCCGCTCAGCGAACCAAACTCAGCACCTCCCCGACACCCTTTGATCTGCGTGACCCCGCTGCCCCCTCGCACCCGCTCTTCACACACTAACTTTTTTTTTTAATTATTTTTTTTTTCTGAAAATCGTTGTATCCTCCTTGTCTGACTTCAAGGAGTCGCTCGGGAAGCCCTATTTATGGGTTGAAATGCTGCTGAAAGAGTTATTGCCGTGTTATTCAGCTGTTGTGCCAAGCCTGCATGGGGATCGGGTTTCTGCTGAAAGGGTGCCAGGCACGTCTTTTTCCAGGAACCAGCAGCCGTATTTAGCCTCCGGCTGCACATGAAAGACTGCAGTCGGAAACGTGACATTGTGTCAACATTTGAGGCAGGTCAGAGCTGGGTGAGACCATGAAAACAAGTCCCGGGAACTCAGCACACCCCGGCGGGGCGGGCGGCACGGGCTGTCCCGGGCTGGCTCCGTGCCGGGGGTCGCCCCTCCGTCCC